ATTTCCTGTATTGGCAAAACATTTGAATTTTATTTGAAAAAATAAAATTATTAAAACAAAATTAATTATATTTCTTTAGTTATAACATGATACATAATTTCATTAATTACAAATATAATTAATTAATTAATTAATCTTGTTAATAGCCTTTAAATTAAGATTTAAAATTTTATTATTGTCTTTAAAAAAGTATAGAAAAATTAATAGATCTATAAAATAACCATGCTTTTATGGTGTATATTGTAAACTTGTACATAGCCTAATAGATACATAGTAGCCTAAACTTCATATTTTATTTTAGAAGAATATGTAATGTAAAAATAATTGGATTTGTTTTTATTTTTTTATAATTAAATTACGTGTTAATAAGCACATTAGAAAGCTTAAAACTATTAACTTTTAAAGTTTTAATGTAGATAATTTTTTGTTAATATTTAGTCACTATAGTGAAAAAATGGATATATATGGTTAAGAGAGAAAAAAATAGCCGTAAAATCCTACAGTTAAAAAAAATCAATTATAGGGTTTTAAAGTTTTTTCTGATTTTAGTTTTTATCACTACAAGCTGATGAAAAAATAAATGAACTATAATTACATACAGGTTCGATGTAAAAAAAAATTATGAAAAACCATTGATGTGATTTGCCTTTAGGGTTGATTGACACTTACAAGATATGTTTAAATATCATAATTCAAACCAGATAGTGTACTTTTTATTGTTTAGAAACAAAATTCGGTGCAACGACTGCTACAAATAAATATATTAATGTAGGGACGAATCTAGAACCCGACAGGGGCGATCACCTTAAAATAATAAAAAAAAATAGTTTTTTATTTTTAATACGCATTTTTATAGTTTTATTTTACAAACATTCAGTATTTATTTACGTTATTAAATGAATTTATAAGATTAAATTTATTTGAAAAGTTTTTAGCTGTCAGTTATGAAGGTTGCCCCTTTTATAAAATTCCTAGATCCATCCTGTATTAATGTAATGACTATTATATAGTCGAAATAATAAGAAAAAATCGAAAATAAATTTTATGTATTTGAAAAAAAACCATCTATCCACTGATTAAAGTCTATTAAGATCTACTGATCTCAGTTAGCATATCACACTCTTTTCAATATTAGCAATTTTTTTATGATATAAATCAAACTTTACTTTTAATCTTAGCGACGATTTAAGCCTGCATTAAATATAAAAAAAAATATATAAAAAAATCCACAAACTGCCTGGCTTACGTGAGGTTCGCAGTAGGGTTAAAAGCTTTTCATTTAAGATAATCTTCTTTATTTTGAGATCTGTCCCAACAAACGCTTATTTTTTACGTATAGGTTCACAGTAGGACTAAGTAAGGATTTGTGTCACGATTACTGTAATCCGTTGTCACAAAAAGCGATCTTTCTTTTGCGGTAGACTAATAGGCATTTTGAGATGGGGGATACTTTCGGGTGATGGCTTTTAAAAAGAGTGAAGGATTGTACGAAGAATAAAAAGCTTTAGTTCTCTTATAGAATCTGAATATAGAAGCATTTACTATTTAAACTTTTAACAACAAAAAAAAATCTGTTTTTTTTTTCAAGTCTTTGAAGTTTTTAGAAAATAATTGAAATTTCCTATCTTTGAAACAATTATTCTGAATATTTTTGAAAATTTCTAAATTAATTTTTTACTCAAAATGTCATTACTTTATGTATTTTATGAAAGAAAATTGAATTTTTCTTTAATATACATGTCTAAACAGTTTACTGTAATATAAAACTAAAATTCTCAATGCTTATGAAAGATAAATCAATTTTATTAAGAATTACAGCATTTTCAACGATATAATGCGAGTTATATATTTAGATTTTTGTATTAAATCTATTTTATATCTTAACATTGCATACAGATCTGTTCAAAGAAAGAATGTGTAAAAACCTCAATTATTTATTTCGAATTAATTACTTTAGATTTATTATTTAAATAAAATTCTTATATTTATTAATAATAGAAGATATTTATATAATTAAATAATTTTACTAACTTAAATAAAATACAAATATAAAAGGATAGATAAAAAATTTAAATGTGTTAGCGTGATATCGACTTTATAAGCTAAATTATTCATAAAAGTTTGTGTAATTATTTCGATTTAAATTAATGCAAATAAATTTTCTAAATAGTCCAGTACATTTAAGAAACTATTTATTTATATTTTAATATCTATTCAGTAAATTAATTTTTTTTTTTAAAAACTTACATTTTACAACTCAACGATCATTTGATTTCCGTAAATCTGGTGTTTTTCTCTGTTTTAAGATAGTTTTATTATCAAATTATAAATTGATAATTCTGTTTAACTTCAATTTAACGTTATAAACCCATTATTTTAATTTTGTAAAGTTTGAAATTTAAAATTTTTTACTGATTAGTTCGTAACTTTTCAGCACTGGAGATAAAATTTAGAATCATTAAAAAACGATAATTTAAATTTGCTGGCACCTGGTAAGGCAGAAGAAAAATTCCTCTATTGATAAACAAACGTTTTTACTTAAATTTTTTTCAGATCTCATCAAAGTTCAATTAATTACGATTAAGTATCAATGATCTGATGTCAGATTAGAGTATTAACAAAAAAAATTATTAGTTTGTTACTCGATACTTTACCTGGTTTTAAGATAAAATACAAATAAAATTTTTTTGGACAGACAATTTATTAGTTTAAAACTTTTTTCATTACTTTTTCGATTTAGAATGTGTTAAAGTATTTAAAGATAAAACATAAGTTTTTAGATATATTTATGCCATTTATTATCTTTTCGTAATGATTTTAATAATATACGGACCTGTTTTATTTAATTTTATAAACGGATTTATTTATTTATTATACGTTCTTCATAATGTAATACCATTGTCTTGTTAGATTAGACATTATGGATCTTGTATTGTCACTTCAATTATACGTTTTGAAGGTGGAAATTGATATATGTTTGAGAATTTTAGAGAATTAAAACTATACGTTAAACTATTTAGATTTAAGATATGTATTCTTTGCTCTATAAATTTTATGATTTTGTGTAAATTTAAGATAATGAATGCGTCATTTTCGAACACCTTTTAGTCTTAATTACTCATCTCGTCAGGAATTTAAGAGAAAAAAAGAGCGGTATTTATTTTTTTCAATATCCTATTTACATCGAAGTCATGCTGCATAAACTGCACCTGCGGTTAGCAGATATACAGTAGTTTCGAAGTAATTTTGGCAAGTCTTGAGGCCGACAGTCATTTAAATATTATTTGGCTGGTAATCCGATACAAGAAAAACAGTGGTTTTCACATTTAGAGTAATCATTTCTTCGCATAACCCGAAGCTAAATTTGTCATCTATGGGCTTGAATGGACATTATAGTACTAAATAGTTCTTCACGCTTTAATTTATATAATAGGATGCGTTGGGAGATTTTTAACCCAAACTAATACATTCAAATTATGAATGTAGAGACTTCAGGTGCGTTTCTGAGAAATTACATTCCGTATTTTTTTATTTTTTTTAATCATCATTTTACGCTTATTCGATTTTCTTCAAAATAACGAGAAAAATTGGAAATTACATGTTTTTCCTCATGAATGGTTGTAATTATATTTAAATAATGATGATAATAACATTTCTGTTTTTAATTAGAGAATTTTTTAAAGTTTACATATCTTATTTAAGCTTTTTTTTAATATTTACTTCACATTTTTAAGCTTTCTAAGTACTTAAACCATAGTTTTTTTTAAAATNATTAAATTAGAAATTAAATTAAATAGAATTGTTAATTAAATTAGAATTTATTGGATAATAGATCTAATAATTAAAATTGTTAAATAAAAATGAAATTAAAGTTTTAATAATTCAGTTTTATTTTTTTTTAATTGCAATTTTATAATTAATTTATAGATTATAAATATTATAATTGACTATTGAATTATTAACTTCACGTCCGTCTGAACGTTAGAATATTTTAATATAATTATAATTATTTAAAAGTCATATTTTTTAATATGTAACTTACATAAAATTTATTTCATTTTAAAATATTTAACTTTTTTTTTAATACAAGGCGCTGTAAAGTTTTTATTGTGTTTATTAAGTGTTAATTATTAATTATAAAATAACTATATTATAAATTCGAAATTTACGAGTTTCGCGCCTTATATAAATCAAATTTATAAATATTGAAAAGTTAATTAAGTTTCTATATTAGTTAAATTGACGTTGCTTCGTTACTTATTATATAGAATAATGATTAAATTATATTACGTGTAAATGCTGTTAATAGACTTGATTTATCGAGCTGTAATACAGTGCATTACTATCTTAATTGCCAATTTAAATGATAAATTTAATATCGAACCGTATTTTAATTAGTTTAATAATTTTTTTTCTTATTATTAAAGTTTTCGAAGTACTTTTTTCAAATCCCGTGAACGGAATGAATATAAGTTCATTATAGCTTAAGAATTTTTAAAAAGTAGTAAAGAAAAAATCGATTTTTCTAAATGCTTTCTGCTTTTATCATTTAATAATTTCTGTTACCTTCGAAGGAACTTGATTATATGGTTAACTTACTACATCAGAGCCTTTTAAGTCTAACTACTTTGAAAAAAATCCGGTCGTTCTTCACTGAAACGACTTTTAAGTCTCCCAATTTATTTAGAAACTATAATTAAAAATCCTGTGCTTTTTTTTAAAAAAAAAAAAGAACTTTATTCTATCAGAGTATTATCTCTAATCTCAATCATTGCTAAATGGCATTGATTAAAAGAATAATAGAACGAATTTTTCTTTCGTATACGTTACGTATTTTATTTTATTATTTTATTTTTTATAATGCTAACAATTATAATAGTAATTTATATAGATTTTATATTATTATTATTAAATGTATTGTCTTCGTATTGATTTTGTGTAGATTATTTTTTAACACTAAAATAAGAGAAGAAATATTTCCTGATTTATTCTCTAGATGGCGCAACGTTAGCTTCAATGGCTGTTCTGTAGAAAATGCCTTTGAATGCAAGAAAAAAAATCAAAATTTAGGTAAATAAACAATTTATTTTAATTCTTTTAATTCTAAAATATATATAACTGAGTGCCGTATATGAATATTTCCAATAATTAAAAATTTAATAATTTAATCTTAAGAAATTTAATTCCAAATATTAAAATGGTTTCATAAATACGAAATATTTCACTCGCACTAAAAATTAGAAGAAAAACTGCAGTAAAGAAAATTCATTCATTCGTTATAAAATGGAAAAAGCAAGCAAAATAATATTTTAAGACCATTAAGAAATTTAAACAATTTTTTTAAGGCTTATATTATGATGCTCTAATTAGAATAAAGCAGAATTGAATAAATTTCAATTTTGAAAATTAGAGAGAATTTTATTAAAATTACTGCTGAGAGGGAGAGTGTGTGTATGTGTATACAATCAACATCTATTACTATTTTCCTCAGTTATAGTATTTTATTTACTGTATTGTATTGTATTTATATATATAACACACACAATATATATATAGGTCTGAACACACACAAAATATGTGTATATATATTTACTTTCGATATACCATATATATAATAATATAATTGAAGCAAATAGTAATAGATTAGTAGTACTTGTAATTATTACGCTTCAGCTAGAAATACATTTGTTTAAATAAATTCTATATTGCGATGAATAGATACTTGTTTAATTATTTCATACTTCGATGCAAGAGTGAGGACTACAGGTTTTTTTTCTACAAGTTAATCAAGCATAATATACATCTGTCAATAACGGAAACTATATCAGAATCGCGAACGAAGATTATCCTATATTTTACGATAGGCTTCGGTCTGTTACAGAACGTAGGATGACGCATTTCCGTGTGAAATTCCAGCAAGCATTGACAGATACCGCGTACAACGATATATACCATATGCTACAACACATTCCTAATGGATGGGACATTATTGGAAGGCGGGTTCAGACTCATCCAGGCGTCATGTGATCGGAGCAGCCATCGTTAATTGGTTCCACTCCACATCAAAGGGAAGCAAGCTGACAGGAAGTTGATTTTACTAAACCGGATGTTAAAATGTCCCTTGGTCAGGATAGCTGGGACTTTTTAATTATTTAAAATAAAGTGAAATTGATTCAAATGATTTTTACATTTAAATTGAATATTTCTGTCCCTCTCACAAAGTTAACATCTGCGGTGAAAGTATAGACATGAACTTCCGGGTAATAGAGCAGATGGAAGAAGTCACTTAACAATTTTCATGAATACATTTCTTATTTAATGAGAGGTATCTTGATAAATTTATAGGAAAAAAAAAAAAGAAAATTATAGAGTTCTTAGATGATTCTTTTCATCATTATCGTTCGAAAGGTGTAAATACTAATGAAGCTTTTCAAAGACTAATAATGTAGATAATATAGCGTTACCGATAAAAAAAAAACCACGCTTTAAAGAAATCTTTACAAATAAACTTTTATTAGATAATTTCAAAAAATTCTTATCCATAATCATTTGTTAATCGATTACAGGTTTATACTCATTTATTATTTCCTTTATCAGTGTGATCATAATCAAAAGCGATTTTTCTTGTTTGGCAAAAATCTGATTAAAAAAAAAAGTGTATATAATCTGTACAAAAAAAACTGTTAAAGATAAATGGATCTCCACCAGTTAGTAAATGAGGTACAAATGGTATAGGCCTATACTACGTAGATTATAATTTTCTTTGATTGATTTATCTAGTTTATATTTTGAAGAAAATTAAACTAGAATTTAAAATAGAAAAGTTCTACAAAAGTGATATAACAAATGATTTAATGTTACGTTATCAGAAATTGAATCTGTATTTTGCGATCAAAGAAGTTTAATGGACCCAGGATGGTATAATGATCAAGTGTTTCATTTTGAATAGGATATAATGAATGAAATGATTTAGTCTGTAAAGTACAGTATAATGCTTTAGTAATGGAATATTAGTTAAGATCTATTATTAACTCTATTAGTTATAAAATCTACTAGTTAACACTATTATTAATAATAATATAAGTGATATAATTATAATAAACTGATATAATTTTATATGAAAATTGAATAAATTCTAAAAACCATTGAATATCCGGTTCTTATCATATTTGTTTTATTCTATCAAAAGGAACAAAAGTCCATAATGTAAGCAAAAACTACATTGATATCTTTTATGTCATTTCTTATTCAATATTTTTATATCATTGAATGAATTTGTTGTATGAAATTTATATATTGTATATCTTTTAACTGAAATATATTCTATGTAATACAAGAAATGAACACTACGGGCCTTAAGGCAATTCCATCTCAAGCGATAGGCTTATCTTAAAATGTATACTCTCTTTACTCATATCCATTATATGAAATACATTTAATATTAAAATTAAAATAATCTTTAAAAAATAATTATCTTTAAATAAAAAATTGTATAAATTTAATTAATACAATTAAAAGACATTCAAGTAATAGTTAATATAACTTATATAAAATAAGGAAGAAAAGACAATTTAATTTACAAAATCATTGATCATTTTTCTGGATTTTAACAAGAAATTCCATAAGAAAACACATTTGTTACTTTACAGTGAACGGAGCTAATAGAAGATGACAAATTTCATTTTTCTTTCCTTATTGGTCATTTTCTGCCTGACGTGACACATTGGAAAGGTAATCTAACACTGCCATAAAAAAAACTTACAAATTACACTTTTGTAATTAATAATAATGTATTAATTGCTAATAAATTATTTAATTAGTAATTTTATAATTTTTAATAGAAATTAATTTAATTGACTAAATTAATTTAAAGTAAAATTAACGTTGGCTATTACGTCGGTTTTGAGTATAAAACATGAATTGATTAGTCGGAACCGACGTAACTAATTTTATTTTAAATTAATTTAGTCAATTAAATTAATTTCTATTAAAAATTATAAAATTACTAATTACATAACTTATTAGCAATTATAATATAATATTATAAGCTATTTCTGATACTTATTTATTTATTTTACTCCAGTTTAATTTAGATTTAAATATTTTATTTAATCGATATTCACTTCTAGAAATATAGTTTATTATTATTATTATATTTTACTTAATTTTAAAATATGTAATTGTAATTTTTCTTAATTAATATATTATTATTGTTTTTGTTTATTTATTTATCGGAAATAACAAACTCGTATTAAATAATAAGCTAGGAATTAAATGAATAAATATTAGGCTCAATTAAAATAATAATTTTTAAAAATTATATAAGTTATTAGACCTATTCATATATTATATAAAGAATATTACAAATTTGTTGAGTGATATAGAGTGAAAAAAAAATTAAATTTTATAAATAATTATTATTAAATTACATTTTAATAAATTAAATTTTAAAAATATATATAATTTTGTAGGGATTATTGATTTTTTTAAAGCTAACGTTTACGCGAAAAAAATAAAATATAGGCCCTAATAGAAGTTATATAAATTATAAAATATCTTTTAAACATTCAAACCCCATAAATTTCGAATCATTATTATTGTTTTTTAATAAAAAATCTTATTTTCCGTATTATTTATAAAAATATTTTATATTTAAAATTCGTAATACTTCAGATATAAAGAAGAAGAAAAAGTATTAATATTAAATAATAACGATAAAAAACAAGTATTATTAACATACCTAGAATGTTGATAAACCTGTATTCTGCAAACTAATGCTGATTAAATTGTAGGTAAACCGTAATTTTACTTCAGCAAAGCATTAAGTTTTTTCTTATTTTTTTTTTTCCTCCCTAACATTAATCTGGATTAGAGTAAGTTATATCAACATTTAGCAAGATACAAATGATACTCAATAAGTATAATTTTAATTTTTTCGGACGTGTTTTTTACATTCTCTTATACAGTTAAATGTTAAGTCTTAACGACTTGGAAAAATTTTCAAAAATTAATCACTAAATAGCAGGAAGGATTCTAAAAGTGTTATGAAAGGGGGGACGGGACGATTTTCATAACTGAAAACTAATAAAGAAAAACATAGATTTAAAAAATTAATTTTATTTACATTTTTAAACGGATTTATAAGTAATAAATAATAATTTAAAATTAAGAAATGAATGTAAAAAAAATAAAATTGTTTCGCTTTATTTTAAAGAGAGAGAGAGAGCGTTTTTATCACCTCCTCCTAGATCCGTCCCTTCTAAGTAAGTCTATTATAGAAAGAACCTCTCGACGATTATAATTTCATAAATTAAATATATGATTTTTTTAAAGTTGTTTAAGATTATCTTCATTAAGAAAAAAATTGATAAAAAAAACTAATTTACAACTATAAAAAATGTAACAGATTATAATAAAAAAAAGAGTTATGTATCTGAATATGTATTGTATAACAAGTGCTAGTTGCATGATCTTATGCATAAGGCACTTGTTAAGGTTACAAAAACAGCTATTCATAAAAACATATCTTTTTTTTTCTCAGTAGACAATGAATTTTTATGAGTTATATATTTGTATTTTGTTCCATCTTGATAAAAAAAAATCTTGAATGAATTGAATACGTAGCTATATAAATATTATGGATGTTTCTCATAAATTATCATTTTAACAGCGGTGTAATGCAAAGAATATGGAGTTCATAGCTATTCTCTGAGTGAGGAAATTCTGTTAATAATTCTTATTATTCTTTTAAATTGGCATTTATCTTGTTTTAATTTATTATTGATTAAAAATGTACACTAAACTACATTAATCAAATCATAAAAAATGAATGTATCATTATTTCCAAATATACATAAGTCTATAAAATTAAAAAATACATTTAAACGTATAGGTTCACAGTAGGACTAAGTAAGGATTTGTGTCACGATTACTGTAATCCGTTGTCACAAAAAGCGATCTTTCTTTTGCGGTAGACTAATAGGCATTTTGAGATGGGGGATACTTTCGGGTGATGGCTTTTAAAAAGAGTGAAGGATTGTACGAAGAATAAAAAGCTTTAGTTCTCTTATAGAATCNTTGTGGAATTAAAATATTATGCTGCCTTTCTTTCACATTGCCATTTTTTTTTTTTTTTTGCATATTTTCAGTTAAATTCATTATATTTGTATTTAAATTAATAGTTATAATTAAGCTACAGATATCCTAATAAAATTAAGATTTCTAGAAATAAAATAATTCTGAAAAAAAGAGCTAACAAAACTAATTTAAAATTAATTAAAAGTTTATTGTGATAAATTATAAATTTATGAATGTTTATGCCTAATGTTATAGTCTAATTTTTCAAATTTTATTAAAATAATAATATGGAAAAAAAATTGGAAGTTTACAACACAGAGACGTTTAAAAACTAAAACACGTGTTAAACTTCTTATTGTATAATAAACAATTACCAAATTACACTTTAGAAATGGAAAAGAATTCTCAAATCATCTTAATTCACGCCGATTACCACAATATCTATTTTCTAAACAAGAGAAAAAACAATTATCTTAAGTTAATCTTCTGAAGAAATGCAGCTGGAGTCGTCTTAAAGAGTCTTTGATGAAAACTCTAAGTATTTATTCTCGCGCAATGTACGAACATTAAGCGTGTATGCGATTTTTATCGCGATAACAAGTAGAACGACATGATCAACTTACAAGATGGGTTAAGAGAATAGAAAAAAAAAGAGAGAAAGATTTAAAAAAAAATCGGAGCCAGCGAGAGACTCCCAACTAGTAAATCTAGAAAAAGATGGAGACACGCGACGGAATGTATTAAGTCCTAAACTTTTGCTCCGCAGCTAAGATATGTAATTAAAGTACTTTAAAATGATCCACGTGTTACATGGGAAGACAGATGAGTCTGATCAAATCATTCAGAAAATCAATCGATCATAGATTTCCTCCTCGACATCATACGGGCCTGATACGCCGATTACTTTGCTAATGTTTATTTTATTCCACCGGGGATCATTATTGATAAAGAATTGTTTCTTTGACGTTAGGTGGATTATCTTTTCCATCTAAAAAAAATAAAAAAAGCCAAAAATATTACACCTTCAGTAATCCTTTATCAATTAAACAATATTGATCTTTTTTTATGAGTTAAACAGTTGACTTCTGTAATTACCATAGCTTAATTGAACGGCTAAATATTACTCAGTACTCATTCAGTATGCTTTAAGTATAAGAGTTGTCTTCATTAAGAAAATTAATTTTGAATCGATATAAATTATTACTTAGAAGAAGAAACGTAATTAACAGTTAAATAAATTATTACAATTTATGCTCAACAAATTCACACAGGTCTTGATTTTTCAAATATTTATTGAACGGAAACTGTTTAATGCTAAAATTAATTTAATGTAGGTGCTAATTGGAAATAAATTATCGCAAAATTCTAAAAATGAACGAGTGATTTATGATTCCGGCGGCAACGATTAAATATTTAATCATTTAACAAGGTAAAACCTCGAGGCAAAAATCACTTTTTAGATTTATAAATTTCCCAATTTTAAATTACTGACTGAAAAGTGCTTAAAAAATTATGCCTGTAATAATTTTTTCCTTCAATTTTTTTTCCTATTATAAATAAATTCATGAATGATCCATTGAAATTTACTTCGTTGATCAGGTTTTGATTTTTATTATAATATATTTTAACTGGCGTCATTCTTTAAATTTTCTATCCTACATAATTAATTCTGAATTTTTTTTTTTTAAAGGATGGTCTTTTAATTATCGATCTTCGGCCTTAGGTTATGAAATTTGATAATATAAATTATAACACGTGGATAAAATGTAAAATAGATTGGACTTATTTTCGTTTAGGCAATTCCGAAATTTTTAATTTGGTTTGAGCTTTTTATGTATAATTATAAAAGAAATTTAATTACTTTTTATGTGACAAAATCCATACAAATCAAATGATTAAAATATTAAAAAAAAAAAGAATTCTTCGCAACTTTCTCAGATAAACTAAAGCATGTTTGCTAACTCAATATAGACAAACTTGTTTTTATTTTTTCAATAATTTAGGATCTACTCAGCTAAACTTTTAACCATCTGTCTCCTTCTTTTTATTTATTTATTTATTTTTTTCTGCTAGACATCTGTCTGGTTACAGCAGGTACTGCTCTGACATGTTTTTGTTGACAATTTTGTATACGCTCCTCCGTAACAATGGAATAATGGATAAAAGGAAACCTTATTTTGAATATAGGTCTATATAATCAATTCCCAGTTGTTTAGAATTATAGAGATATAGAATTAGTAATTAACGTAATTCTTCATTCTAGATAGCACTTAATTATAAGTTAAAAAAAAATTAACATAATTTTTATTTCAGCATAAATAGCCTACAACTGAAACTAGAAATTAGCATAAGGTTTCAGTGCAACTAGGGTTATTTTTGTTAAGCTACTAAAAATTTGCATAATTTCTATCTCTAAATATCAGTTATAAGTCTTTATGTTAACAGAAATTAACGTAATTTCTCGTTCAGACGACTGCAATTATTATATTCTAGGCATAATAGTTGATATTAACATAATATCTGTTTCAGTAGGGGTGATTATAATAATATGAAACAACATAATAATTTTTTTTTTCTTTCTATAGAAACAGCAAGATAACAGAAATTAAGCATAATTTTTCTTTTCGGGTGTCTTTAATTATTGTAAATTTTAAAGGTTTTTATTAAAAGAAACAAAATAAAGGTCTAATCTTCGTTTTAATTTGGTCACAATTTTTATATAGAGATGGATGAAATTAGCATAATTCTTAAACAAATATATCATTATATAAGGATATTATTTTGTATAACTATATATTTATCTTTAGAACTAAGTTTATTAAGTATTAAAATGTATTTCTTTACAGTAATTTTTAAATTCCTTCATTATTTTTCTATTTTAATGTGTTATAGAAATGAATATATAAAATTTTCTTTGAATAGAGAAACATATTCTTGTTTTTTTAGTACTTTTGCATGTTTATTAATTAAAAAGTAATATAAATTTTACTAAAATATCTCAGAAAAATAGAAAGTTTTGTTTGTAAATCTGATATTTTCTGAATTATTAAATTTATATTAATTTATTTTCTCATTTATTTGAAAGGAAACAAAGGAAATCCCTCATATACAATAATAATAATAGAATCCACTAAAAATTAAAAATAACAATAGATTAATTTTATAAATAAATAGTTAAAGTTAATTTTTATAAGTATAAAAGTGTAAATTATATTAATACAATAAATATAATTAAATACAAAATTTATTTCTAGTAATTATTAAATTATTAATGAAATTTTATAGATTACCACTAATTACTGAATGGTATAGAATTAGATAAAAGAGAGATTATATTAATTTTTTAAATTTTAATTTGTGATAGTTATCTTGATAATGATGTAAGAGAATAAGCTAAATCGAACGGAATAAACGTTTAATGTTTTTATTAAATTATACCAGTTTGTTTTTAAACGAAATTTGACCCGATGTACAATTCGTTCTAGCAATTTAGTAAAGTAATAATTAGACTAATGACTATCATCGATTTAAAAAATGGCGTTTGGGAGTTTTCGAAGGTGCAGCATCCTGCAAACTCTAGATTAGTTTTTGATTGGCAAAAATTGCTGATGAAAAAGTGTCAGCTCCTCCTCTTAAACTCTATAGCCTCAAGCGTAGATTCAACTATTTTTTATAATATTAAAAAATTAATTCCTAGGGAGTTGTATTTTAGATTTCTCTTTAGAAACAAATAAGTACTTTCATATAACTGATAAATTTATTTATTAACTTGCTTGACTTCGGAATGTTGTTCTTTACGATAGATGAATAAGAAAAGGGAATTTTTTTTTGTTTTTATTTAAAAGGTCACTCGCTTTAAATTTTATAAAAAGAAAGACGAACCATCTGTTTTATTTAACGTTTATTCTATATTTATTAATATTGCATAAGTACTTTCATTTAAAAACTAAATATATAGTTTTGCTAAGAAATGAAAATGATGTAATTACAACTATTAAATTTCAAATTTAAATTCATTCATCATATTCTTGTAATTATTAAATCAAAATATTCATCTGCATAATTATAAATTGCGAAATTTATCATCAATAAAAGAAAATTTGAATTAACTCCGTGCATTTATCTATAATTTACGCGTAAAAATTTATGTTTAAATAACGTAAAACGTGACGTAACAAATATTTTTATTGATGCAGAACTAAAAAGGAGAGTGAAACTATTGTCTGGAAAGTTGTTTTTATTATTTTTTCCTTTTATAGAGTATTTGTTTATAATCTGTTTTTGTTTGTGTAAGGAAAAACGCAGTAAACAAACGAAAGCTGCGAGGTCATTCCTTTCGACAAACACATGAACATCTTCAGCTTCCTGTGGACTACACCTGCAGTCTTTACCTTTAACCGAGTGGGTCAAGTGGGGAGTTTGGTCGTCGCGTGCCAACCACGTGAATGACAGACGACCTGACGGCCAACGTTGCCATTGGGTGGTACTAATTACAGGGTCAACACAGCTGCTGCTCAGACACTCCGACGTTTTCGCTCTAGGCTCGGCCCGTGCTATGGAATTACAGAGTACTGATATTTTGGCAGTAAAATATAATTGTTTATCAGTTGCTGGGTAATTTAGCTGTCCATATTACGGAGTTCAATCTCTGATGTCAATTTTAAAATATTCTTTCTGCTAAGAAAAAAAAAAGCAAGGGTTTTATCTCTAACTTTTTCCCTCGAAGTCATCGCGTGGCATAAGAAGATGGGGCGCTCTTAAGGGACCAACCCTTCGGGGAATCGTGTCAGTGGGGCGCTATGTTACGAGGTAGTTTAGCTCCGAAAGGGGTGATGGCTCTGAATTATAAATAAGATGATTTAGGGTATATTCATAATTAGGGAAGGGTTGATTATATCGTAATAGCTTATATTATCTAGATTTGAATTTCTGAATAAACCTTTCACTTGAATTACAATGGATTTTTTAATTCAGTAAAATTACTAAGTTCAGCAGTAGTTAAATTCATTGATTTTCGTTTTATAAATTCGATGTTTCGTAAGTCGTGGTTATACATTTCAAATAAACTAATTTTCAAGTTTACAATTATTAGTCTTTTTTTCTATATTCAACTTTGTTTCAAGTTTTTTTTTATAGTTAATTATAGAAGATAAGAGTAAATTGTCTGCAAATTACTTAAGTAGTATCTACCTGATGAATTTTCGCAATGAAAGAGTAGCGAATAAAAAATTCACTTGTCACATAAAGTAGCCTATAATAGACTGATATCTGATAACAAAAATATAGAAATAAACGTGTGAGGAGTGCAAATCATAGAGTTTTCTCTATGAACTTAAGAATGTTTGCCTTCATTCTAAAGGCCAACCAGTATTCGACGCGATAATATCATATAGATTTCTGATTGGTTAAGTCCATTCTCGGACATTGTGGAGCCGAGATTCGTCCAGTTACATTAAAAATTCCGATCACTTAAGGGTCATTGAGATAAGAAAAAAACACGACTTATGCCATTGTACGGATTTTAAACCGTTTTACGTCGTCACTCTGGCACCAACCATCATCGGAACCATCATTTTTCATACGAACTTTCAAACTTTCTTTGCCTCATAGAGTTATCAAAACACGTATCATATTCAAATAAATTATTTAATAAATAAGTTCATAAATATCTTCAATCTAAATACCTTTTTTTGAAGAACAAATAGGCGTTCCTTAAGAAATTCCATTCATGGAGCAGGTGGGTAACTTGTCGCACAAGGTGGTCTAATTATTTAGATCTGCTAAAGTTAACCATGATCACGAAGCAGTTTAGTTTTAATCATTAGAAGAAATTTTTATTTTCGCTTGATAAATGTATCAAATCAAGATAATTGATAAAACTATATTAATAACAAAATTTTCTAATTGATTCTTATATTTGGTAAAACAATTTATCATTACTTTAAACTTAGAAGAGAAGAAATTTAATTTTGGATGAAACTTTTTTGGAGAAAAACTCTTTCTTTAAACGTCAAAACACCTGATTATCCATCAAACCACGTTCTGGGATGATCTATCGAAGTTCTCGTGCTTCCTTCCGTGGATAACTAATTACATAGTATTAGACAAATATAGCCCTTTGGGCCTAAATTGTCTGACCTTCTGAGGGAATGATGACAAAAGAATTGCCGACGGACCATATCCATTAGTGGACTTAATACGTAGTTGCATCAACTCACCTGCTAAAGAAGAGGACACGCGACTGGCCTTATTGTTAGCACTGCAAATGAGTTTACGGCTAATCATTGCTGCACAAATTTACGCCATTCCTACTAATTATATATGACAATTAAATATGATTTACGCATTAAAAAATAGTTCCCAGACAGCCAGACAGAATCTCCTCTAACCTCATTATATCAAAAGAATACTAAAAAGGCACAAATTAATAAAGTTTTTGTATTCAGGACATGAGAGGGAATGAAGTTTCTTTACCTACGAAGTGTTCTTGTAAGCTAGGTAAGTACAGAAATAAATATAGACTACTTATATATTTATAATGATAAAGAAAAAATAGTCGAATATTGAATTTCTCAAAGAAAAAATGACGATAAAGATATTAGATGACGTTTAAGAAACTCAAATTTAGATGAATTTCTAAACAATAAATTTTAATTTTCTTTGTGTGTCAGCCAATCCACGTTTATTGTTATAAAAAAAATGGCTGCACATTGCTCTTTCTTATTGACAACGTAATTTTACGGTAATTTGAAGAATAATTACATGATTAAGGAAATATAAAAGCTACGTATAGATTTTTAAGTATGAATTTAAACCTAAATTTGCCTTATAATGGCCTACTTTAATCGTAAAAGGCAAAATTGTATCTTTCATTAATTTAAGTCAATCATTTATCAAAAATTGGGAAACCTGTGTTTAGTATCATCTATCAATAACCATTATAAAAATATGTAAAAATATTTATCTTGTTTGTAATATATATTATTATGTTAGGTTTATGTAAAGGTTAAAATAGTCAAATAATCAGTTTTTTGTCAATAAGTGAGTAAAATACAAATTTAATAAAATAATTTTTATAATTAAAGAAATAAACAAAAGAATTATAATTTCGCGAGGACAATGGGAAAGATTTCTTTTTAAAATTGTCAAAAAAAAAAAAAAAATATTTTAGATAAATTCTTATAATTAATTTTGCGATTATGGACTCATTCCTATTCAAAATGTATTTAAATGAACGCTTTTACGATTCGACTTACTCAACTGTCGCTAATCACCTTAAAAAGAACCTCTTTCATTCACAGCTTCTGGCATTTGATAGCATGAATATACATAAGTCGACCCTTATTAGCTCTAGTGCCGACATCGGGAGTGACCCACGAAGGACAAAGGGACAAGGTTTTGAGGACCCTGAACTTATAGTACAGGTGCAGGTAGAAGTCAAAGACCTCTGACACCTGGCAGACCCCTAGATCCGTGACCTGTGCCAAGAAATGGTCACAGCTGCTCTCGTTTCACCTGTATCGAATATATTCGAGGATGAGGGAATTAAAACAAAAAAACGAAAATGAAAGAATGGCAACCACCTTAATGGGTTGAAGAGTCAGGCAATGTTGCATGACTCAATGGGTTATAGAGTCAATTTATCGCTATAACTTGTCTCTGGTGTCATATCTTATTGATGA